AATACCCCTGGGGCCACGCTAACTCCGAATTGCAGTCTGTTGCATTTGAATGTAGCCCTGTGTGTCACAATTGTTTGTGCTTCTGCTGTTTCTGGGTCAGCTGGTAATTGTTGGTAGGCTTGCGCAAGGTCCAATTTTGCGAAGATCTTACCTCCCCCTAAAGAATGTAATAGGTGCTGTACCACCAGGACTGGGTATGCGCTTTGCTGTAGCGCGTGGTTAAGGATTGCTTTGTAGTCCCCGCAGATACGTACTGACCCATCTGGTTTAATAGGGGTAACAATTAGGGTTTCCCACCTTGCGTGGTCTATTGGTTCTAATACCCCCTGTGCGATAAGTTTATCTAATTGTTCATCAATTTTTGGTTTTAACACGAAACGGACTCACCTCAACTTTAGTCTTATAGGAGCTATATTTGGATTTAAATTAAATGAGATAGGGGACCCCCGGTACTTGCCCAGTTCTCCATTGAAGACGTCCTGGAATTCTTTCATCAGGTCCTCTTCCCAGTCTGTCTCAGTAATGCTGTTTATTCCAGTTACTTCGATTCCTAATGGTGCAAACCACTCGAGTCCCAACAGGCTTGGTTGATTCCGGTCGACTATTGTTAATGGGAGGACTTTAGTGTGTTTTTTGAATTTAACCTTTGAAGTGTTCGGTACCTACTACAGGAATTCTGTTTCCCTGGTAGTCCTTTAGTGTGAACTTTTGTATTTCGAGCTCTCTCTTGTTTATATCAGGTATTAGTCCTTTTAGGGTATTCCACGATACCATTGATAAATACGAGCCTGAGTCCACCTCCATCTCGCATGGCTGGCCTTCTATAGTGACTTGTACAAGTACCTTGTTTGCATTGGTTGAGTTTGAGTGCCCAATAGTTATTGTTTGATGTGTTTCCTCTTTTCTGTTTGCTTCTTTCCATCGCTTGTTTCTGTTCTCTTGACTCCAACGGCTCCCTATTTGCTTTTCCCTCTCCCGGGGGGGGGGGTGTTCCATCTTTGTCTAGGGCCATAGTTATTTCTTGTTCGGCATGCCCTAGCTATGTGTCCCCGCCATTCACAATATCTGCAAATAGTATCAAAGAAATGGCATTCGGAACGTGGATAGTTTCCTCCACACCCGGCACAACGGAATTCTGACCTTCTTTCATTTCACTCCCGTCTATCTTTTTCTGACCGGTGTTGATTTACCTCTTCTTCTTCCTCTTTGTTTTCTGATAGGGATTCGATGTCCTCGTGGTGTGTTGTGGTGGTGGGTTTTTTTGTTTCCTCTGGTGTCTTATTGTATGTTTGACTAGTGTCTTTTTGGGTTTCCTTTGGTAATTTATTCATTTGTCACATGGTAGCTGCCGATTTGTGTGTGGCTTCCACTTCAGTGGCTTCTTCTATTGCCTCTTTCAGTGTTATCTTAGGTCTTGTTAGTAATCGACCCTGTAGTGTATGCTCCTTTTATCCGAGGACCATGTGATCCCTCATGGCTTCATCCATGTTTAGAAATTCGCATGCTCCACCAATGTCTCTTAGTGCTGCAACAAAATCTCCAATGCTCTCGTCTTCCTTTGATCGCGCCGATAAAATTAGTGTCTTTTTATGAGGCAGGAAACAGTTGGTGCGTAGTGGGCTCGCAGTAATTTCTCTAGGTCCATCCACACCATCGTCTTTACATTGGTGGGTGCTGCTAATGCCTTTGCCATTTTGAATACTGTGGGACCGCAATGGGTGAGGAAAACTGCTCTCTTTCTATTTTCGGATACTCCTTGGAGGTCACTCCTCTCTAGGAACATGAGGAATCGGTTGATGTAGGATTCCCAGTCCTCGGTTGTTGAGTTGAATGGTGGGGGTGGCGAGTTGTTCCCGGCCATTTCGTCTCGCTCGGTCCTTGTTGCCACGTGCTCAACTGGGCTCCTTTGTCTCAGAATCCCACCCTCGTCGCCTGTGTTGCATTGTGGGAAAAGAGACTCGAAAGCCAGTTGACTTTTTTTCTCTTTTTATTTTCCTCTAGGATCTGAACGTGGAGAAACCGCAGCAGCCTTTTTTATAGCCGGCTGCTCGTGGCCAATGACAGCTCTTCAAATCTCCCGCCACCACGGACCAACCCATCATAGGTAAGTATGCAAATATATAACAGCAACAATATTTGAAGCCCAACACTGGTTATGTTGTTGCTTTGAGCTCCGAGCTTGGCAATTTGGTTGCAAATTAGTTATTTTATTCTGTTATTTCATCTTTTATTCTGTTATTTCATCTTTACATGTCTACAGGTAAAATACATGCAGAGAGTGCCTTTTTTCATGTTTTAGTCAAACTTTTTTTTTTTTTAACAAATTTTATTCATTTTTTCACATTAAAAACAAAAATCTCTTTTTAGTGGACAACATATTTCCGGGTCATCACCTTTACATACAAATATGACAGCAATTATACATTCATATATGCATACTTAATTCTATTATTACCTTTTCCATTCCAAATTTTCAGTAAGGAGAGAAACACATTAATTCTAGCCTCTTTCATTAATCTCAATCGAAATATCTTTTTGTTTCATTTCAATTATTTCAAATATAATCCTTTAATATTTATTTTAAAAATAAAGATAAACAATATGTGTTTGCCTAATAATGATGATGATGATGATAATAATGATAATGATAATGATAAAAAAGTTACCAATGTCTCTCCTTGCTTTTAATAGTCTATGTTAACTTATTAATTTAGTTGGTTCTTTAGTCTGTCATATTCCCTTTCCATTACACATTCTTTTTATAAATTCTAGATTAATACAAATTTTAACCCTAAAAAAAAAAAGTATAGGTTTCCCCCCTTTTCCTGCTTTGAGTGTGACACCTCAATGATTAAAATATACCTTTATTCCCTCATCTTGATTCCCAATAAACCATTATTTTTAAGAAGTTACAGTAATAATCATTACATCTTTTCATTTGGATTCCGCAGCATATTTTCCCCCCTTGATTTTTAATAAGAGTTATCAGTATGTATATTACCCTATTTTCTAAATATTTTTAATTGCAGAAATATTCTTATTACCCCTTATCACCCTGCAGAATCCCCTTTTTAATTCATCAGCCATTATCTCTGAAAAAACAATTTCTTTTCAACATTTTACTATTTCCGTATTTCTTTATTTCATGCACCTGTTTCTTACTGCTTCTCCTCCCCCTCTTTTCCCCATATCTTTTCTCATTCCAGTTTATATCCCTCCTTTTCTTAATATCTTCCTTTCCCTTTTTCTGCTGGGTCTTTCTGCCTTTCCTGCTTCACAGGTATTCCCCCTTTTGATTGCCTTCTTAAATCTCAACTTTTTAACCTTCCTTCTTTCCCCACTTCTTTGTAGTATTCTTTGTGTTAATTGTCTATTTGAAATGTCTTCTCCTTGAGTCGACTCCTCCTCCTCTGAAGCTCTTTCTTCTTGTTCTTCAATCACCATTTCCATTTTTTCTAACACAGAGCAAAATGATTTGCCTCTTTCCTGTAGTAATTCTCTCATATTTTTAAGTTCCATTTTTAATTCCCGAAGAGATATCATCACATACTCTTATATTTTATGATCGTTGAAGTCCACAAAAAAAACACTTTTACTTTCCTTCTTTCTTCTTTCAATTTTCTAAAGTTCTCAGTTATTCCAGCCGAGGGTCTATACCAAAAACATCAATCAATCCCACAGTCAGTCTTTCTTTGCTTTTTCCTTTATTCTGGTTCTGCTTTCACTTTCTGAGATTCTTACTTTGTTTCAATATTTCTTTAATGTTATATCCACACAAGTTCATTCAGAAACAGGATGCTTTCCGTTTTGTTTGAGCTCAAGTTTTTGTCAAAAGGTGGCACTCTCCATTATACAAAGTCTTCACCTGTTTCCCCTATTTTTTTATTTAGGGTTTTTCGAACCTCAATATTCCAGCACAGTCCAGTCTCCAATTTGTAAACCTTATTATTATTATTTTTTGACAATCTTAAGTCCAGCTTTATTTTATGCCTGTTTATTCCCAAAATATTTTAGTCCAATTTAGTTAAATCTTTAATTCCAGCTTCTTCCTTTCCCGGTTCGAAGCCCCGCTTAGCTGTCAAAAATATTTTCTTTTTTTTCCCCTGTCCCTTTATAATTTCACCTCTCACTTTTCTTTTCTTAAAAATTCCATGTTACCTTAATCCCGGGGTACTTTTGTTTAGTTGTATTGCCCAGTTGTCCCGGTTCAGATGTTATCCATCTCTTTCTTCCCTCCTGCACAAATCTTAATCCAGCTGAGTCCTCCTCTTTGGGGTGGCCATTTTAAACCACCGCTACAGTCGTCTTCGGGGGGAAAAAGACCAAGCCCAGGGGGGGAGATGCGGCTCCCCTCAACCTGGCTTGCGGCTTCCCCTTACTCCGCTGCCCCTCCAAGGCAGCTTCAGCCCCTAATCGTAAGGATTGGGGCTCTCCAACAAAAGAGCATGGACCATAGCTGCAGAGAGTCGCGATCTATGGTCCGTCAGTGAGGAGGCTCCGCCTTCTTTTTCATCTTTTACTCAAACTTTTATTCAGAGGAGGGGAGCAAAGATTACACTTGAGATTTAGCCCCTTGGTTTTTTCTCACTTCCAACTCTTCAGAATAAAGCAATTGGAAAAGACATCCTTTGAATGAGCGCTCACAACAGATTAATATGAACAAAATCTGTTCTCTAACATCTTACATTTTAGAATTGATTTGCCACTTGTTAATGGTCTGTCAAATTACCTTTTTGCTTGTATGGCTTGAGGAAGAAAGTGAACACAAGGTTAGCCATACTTATGTCAACACCGAGAAGAATGTATTTTACTTATTAAAACTGTTGACTAGAGAATGCTGTTGCAATAATGTATGTCTTGTTGATATTAGTCAATTACATGCAACATTTCTAGGCTAACTTTTTGCAGAGGGAGAACTATCACTGCCTTTAAAAAGGACAGAAACATTTTATTCCAGGAGACCCATTCAGTTTCCCCAACTCCATAGCGAAAAAATTATATTTTTATTTTACAAAACCATAACTTTTATTTTTCATGTAAACAATATAATTTTTCAGTGGCACATCTGTACACCCCTGAATTCTCTTTAGAAACAGAAGAAAAATATATTAATTAGGGATATCAAATATATGAAACTCCATACAGGTAAAAACAGACATTTAAAAATTGGCATCAAAATAAGCAGCTTTTAGTTAACAAAGTGATCACACAGTGGATTAGATCAGGAATGTACAAAAGGCACAGCAAAGGCTCCCCAAAATTCCCAGTTATCTGCTAATAAAGCAGCATGAAAAGTTGATTGCACAAGGATAAAAACCAGTTCCTTAAAATACTTCATTGTCTAGGAATCAACACAGAAAGAATTGGAAAGTTAACTGTGTTTACCTAGACTCCTACACAAGACTTCACATTAGATTATTTCCAGAAAATTACAGTATTTGCAGTGGTGATTATGTAATCTGCACGAGGAGCTTGAAAATTATGCTCATTTTAAAAACAACACTGCAGCAAGCCCAAGTTTTTAGAAAAGTAAGAATTCACCCAAGTAATAATATATAGGAACCAGATATATTATCCTTTCATTAAAAAAAAAAAGAAGTGTGTGTGGCACAGAATCATTTTATGGTGAGTAATCAATACATCTGGATTTGTGAAACATTTCCTGCACTGGTTGACTTGCCATATTCTAGCAGTAATGGGGGAAAAGTTTAATTTCATCTTGTTATATATACTGTTCAATTAAGTATAAAGTCAATTTGTATATAATAATTACCTTAGAATAAATTACTATTATTTCTCTCCTGGATTATCATACAGCAGGAAACTGGTTAGATTTGTTGGGATGTCACAAAAGAAAACAGATTTCAACATAGGAACAAATCTCACTGTAATAAGGGACATGTAGAGATACCTTCTATTAATGATGTCTGGAAAGTGTCAGGACGTCTGTCATCTATTACTTACAAATCACAGTCCATTCAAGTTTACATTCAAGGCACAGTGCAAGGGGACATTAACTGTTAGTCTTGTTCCAAGGGCAACCTAGTGTTACTCAGGAAAACACATACAGCACCCAGCTCCAGCTGGCTCATAATCATCGCTCTGTCTCCTCCTTCCTTGAAGCAGTGTGTCATTCCGCTTGTGTTCAATAATTATGTCTTCTACTCGGGTGATGTACAGCAAAGTGATCAACACTCCAAAAAACTGTCAAGCAAGCAAACAAACAAAATTGTTCCCAGACAATCTGTTTTCTCCTCTTGTCCTCCCCTGTCATCTAATAGCCCTTCAGGGGACAGCAAGAACCTATGATTTGTCCAACTTTGACACTGTATCATGGAACATTACGCAAAGCCCAAAGAAGTAATGATGCCGAGTAAGAGTTGTGAGTTCTAGCTGGTTCTCCTATGATCAGGAGAGGTTCCTGACCAGGCAGGACTCTGCAGCAATCTGTGGTTCAGGATTCCTTGCCCACCTAGCAACCTGGGCAAAAGGAGGTGGTGGAATCTAGACCCAGATTCAGATGAAGGAAGGAAGGAAGGAAGGAAGGAAGGAAGGAAGGAAGGAAGGAA